CGGAGGCTGGGTCATTTTAAAGAAGCCTGGATGAGCAAGTCACTGCTCCTACTAGGGGCCCCATGCAGGGCGAGCCTTCGGAGGCCTGGGGTGGGGAGCTGGGAAAACACTAACCCTAGGGAAGTGTAGGACACTGAAGAAATGTTCAGAGAATTAGCTGGGAATGGGAAGGCTGAAGCATACTTATTCATACAGAGTATCTTAAAAAGTTGAAATACAGGGGAAATATTTATTAGACACCTTTCAGATTAATGAGTCAGTGGTTTTAAATGTAGGGCTGTTGTGCAGTGTGTCTAGATATGGAAAGGAGGAAAACATACTGGTCATCTTATTTGAAAATACAACTACAGTATTGTTTAAAGTGAGAAAACTTCCCTATGTTTCCAGTTTTTCTGATTCCTTTATAAGACTAAGAGAGAAGAAGACTTGAATTCGATATAAAGAAGACTATCATGGACTCCAGGGATTGTTGTATGCATGGCCTTCAGAAACTATCCCAGATCCACACACTTCTCACCTTTTTTACCACCACCAGCTCTGGAGACCCCGGTGCTAGCCTTCTAACCAGGCTCAGCTTCCGTTCCATTCCCCTCTTGTGCCTTCTCCACACAGCAGCCAGTGATCTTCCTGGAACTGTGCGCTGGGTCCAGTCTCTCTCCATCCAGGGGTTCTTTGCGCTCGCAGTTCTCTCTGCCTGGAACCCTGACCCCTTTCCCCATACGGCACACCCCATTCGGGTCTTTGCTCACCTCCAAGAGGTGACGTGTCCCTGTGCAATCTAATGGCCCGAAGCAGATTTGACCAGCCCTGCCTGTGGTGGCGGCACCAGAATAGCTGGCTTCTGAAAGGATTCAGAGGCCACTGCCTTAAAAGAAATTCCTAAGTGTGGTAACGTTTGGTTTGGGGAAGATCTCACCCATCGAAAAGAAGCAAGTCACTGATGACGTTAGAGACATTAGAGACTTCTAACGTATAGCTTCTATTAGTAAACTATATTCACTTCTGTAAAACACACACGCCTCTTCTTCACCTTCTCTTGTTCTAGCCTCAGCCTCGGAGATGGATTATAAAGTCCTCTTTTGTCGTTATGCAGGTACTGTGTGGTTTTACTGACCCCCGAGGCTACCAAGTTGAGTAAACCCTTTGAGGCTTTCCTGTCCTTTGCCCTGGCAAACACACAAGACACAGTGAGATTCGTGCACATCTACAGCAATCGACAGCAAGAGTTTGCCAACACCTTACTACCAGACATTGATACGTTTCAAGGAAAATCAGCGGTGAGTCATGAATTCTCTTCTTATTCTAAGCTCTTGACATGCTCATGGCACCTGAACTCTGTTTCTCCCTTCTTTGGGAGTTTTGAATACAGATTCCAGGAAATCCAGAAATCTCTGAGCCTGTTTTGAAAGCCTACTCTTGAAATAGTCTTTTATCCTAGTGATTTCACCTCCTAGATTTTCAGTCTTAGACCTTCACAGAAAGCATCTTTCCTGTGAGTAAAGGTTCAGGAGCATCAGTTCTTCTCACCATTTTTTTCCCCATGGTGGGTGTAATCTTAGAGTGCCTAGTTTGTAAGGGATGCCTGGGTGACTCAGTCAGTTAAGCGTCTGACTCTTGATCTCAGCTCAGATCTTGATCTCAGGGTCATGAGTTCAAGCCCCACACTGGGCTTCATGCTGGGTGTGGAGCCTACTTAAAAAAAAAAATATATAGTACGTAGTTTGTAAAATCTTCCTTAGGCTACCAGTAAAATCTCCCTCCTTTACTTCTGCCTCTTTCATTTCATTTTAATTGATCTCTCCTTCCCTTCCCCTCCTTTGTCATCACTCTACAGAAGCATTCAATTCTTGCCTGTCTTTGTCATCGTTTTGGTCATCATGGAAACTCTCTAAAAAACTGAAGTTCCTTATTATAATATTAAGTCAGAGGTTATAGGAAAAAGTCTACTCAGAAGAAAGAGCTTTAACTTCTAGCAGAAGCTTTGGAAAGTCACCATAAACATGGTTTCCTTTGTCAGAAGAAACTAAGATCTCTTGCACGTATTTTATACCCATCCATATTCGTGTTTGAGCTTACTGCTGACTTCACTGGATCCTTTTTCCATCCTCCCTGAAAAAAAAACAAGCAAACTTGAAGACTTCTAATGGTTTCTTCTTTTCCCCCAGGTGTCTATCTTGGAAAGGCGCACCACGGGAGGAAGGGTGGTGTATAAAACCCTGGAGGCTCCCTGGACAGGGAGTGAGAGTGATAAATTCACGCTTTTGGGCTATCTTGACCAGCTGCGCAGAGACCCCGCTCTGCTGTCCTCAGAAGCTGTGCTCCCGGACCTGACAGATGAACTTGCCCCTGTAAGAACGTGGCCCGGGAGAGGGGGCGCCGGGCAGGGCTGGTGAGCCCCCAGAGCCCAAGCAGAGGCCGGCAGCACGCTGTGCTGGGCAAGGACTTCACCCAGGCTCAGGGGCTCAGTCCTGACCATCACACATTTTCTCCCTCCATAGATCTTTCTCCTCCGGTGGTTCTACTCTGCTTCTGACTACATCTCAGACTGCTGGGACAGCATATTTCACAACAACTGGTAGGAGTATTGCTACAGTGAATTTCTTTTTCTCCACTGATAGGAGAACCACTTTTTTCTCTTGAAAAGAATCTTTCTTTGATTTCAGTGTATACTCAGTACAGGCAAGTTGGAAGAATGTTTACACATCTTCAACAACTGTTCCCTTTTTCTTTTTCTTTTTTTTAAAGATTTTATTTATTTATTTGACAGAGAGATAGCGAGAGAGG